AAGAGAGGATATTGCGAAGCATTTCTTCTGGATCAGCATTATGTGAGACAAAAGGATACCAAGCAGATTGTGATATTCTCCAAATCATTATTGAGACCGGACACGTGAAAAAAGTATGGCAAATGGTCTCAACCCCTGCACAACATCTTTGACAAGTATGATCTATGTTTATATCTCTTGTACTCAATCTTGTAGCAACACCAATTGCTTTAGAACAAATCCTCCAAAGAAAGTGCTTCAATTTAGGCATTAAAGGGAGTTTCCAAATTTTTGTCTTCAGAGCAGGATCACCATGAGGAATAGTTATATCAGAATTTTCTTGACGAGATCTTTGGAAAGCTAGCCAATATCCTGTTTTTACCGAGTATTCACCCGAATCCGTCTATGACCATACAACCTTATCTTGGACTGGAGTTTGAGGCAAGTATATATTTGTAATCTTGACCTGATCTTCTTCTTCTATAAGTTCATTGATTTTATCTAGGTTCCATTGTTGATGATTCTTTCTTCTAGTAATCAGGTCAGTAACCATTAGCTCCTCACTTGGAATTTTCATTTTAGCAGGTCTAGAGATGTTATCCAAGATCCAGTTGTCATTGTGGACCCTTATTGAAGAACCATCCCCGATAATGTGATGGACCCCTTTGCGGAGAAGCTCTAAACCATGCATTATAGAACTCCATCCATAGGATTGGTTTGCTCGATTTTTTGCTTGCAAGATGGAGGTATCTTTATAGTATCTTGCTTTCATAATTCTTGCGAATAAGGTATTCAGGAATTGAAGCAATCTCCATGCTTGTTTTGCCAACAAAGCATCGTTAAACATTGTTAAATCTTTAAAACCAATACCTCCTTGCCGTTTTGAATATTGAAGCCTCTTCCAAGCGATCCATGGTATACCATTATTTTGTTCACTCTTCTCCCACCAGAATCTCATTAAAATCTTATTGATTTCATCGGTAATGTGAACTGGAAGTTTGAAACTGGACATTGAGAAGACTGGCATAGATAAACCAACTGATTTTATCAGTATCTCCTTGCCAGCCGGAGATAAAAACTTTGATTTCCAACTTGAGGTTCTTTTCCTGACCCGATCAATGATATATTCAAACATCTCTTTCTTTTTGCGCCCAAATTGTTCTGGGAGACCTAAATACTTCCCTCCACCACCATGTTTGGTAATGCCAAGAATCATTTTTAGTCGCTCTTGTAAGTCTCCCGAGATCCTCGATCCAAAGGTGATTGCTGATTTTTCTGGATTTATCTGTTGTCCAGACCACAATTCATATGTCTCAAATATATCCTTTAACTTTCTGCAATTTCGGTTATTGGCTTGACAAAAGAACAGAGAATCGTGGGCAAACAACAGATGAGTGATAGATGGAACTCCATTGCCAATCTTTATGCCTCTTAGTTTTCCTTTCTGATGATGAGATTGTATTAGATGGCTGAGAACATCTGCACATAATATATACAGATATGGAGACAAAGAATCTCCTTGTCTTAGTCCTCTTTCTGGAACAATGCGGCCTTGAGGATTACCATTGATTAAAACTGAATATTCCACAGTGTTAACAGATGCCATTATCCAAGAGATCCAACGTGCATCAAAGCCATAAGCTTGCAATGTTTTTTCAAGAATACTCCACTCAATGCGATCATATGCTTTTGAAATATCTGTTTTAATGGCCATATATATCTTAGATACTCGCCTTCTTGATTTTAAGGAATGCATAAGTTCTTGAGCTATCAAAATGTTGTCAGTTATCATTCTCCCTGGGATGAAAGCAGCTTGGGATTCCGAGACAATGTCACTAAGAAAGAGTTTAAGACGGCCCACCAAGATTTTAGAAATAATCTTGTAAAGCACATTGCAGAGACCTATAGGACGGAAATCTGACAGGGTGACTGGTTTTTCTATTTTAGGAATCATACAAATGTTGGTGTGGTTTATATTATGTTTCATTGATCCCGTATTGAAAAATTCTTTGACTTCCTTGATAACATCTGTGCCAATGATCTCCCAACATGTTGGTAAAATCTTGCAGTCAAACCATCAGGGCCTGGAGTTTTGTCAGCACCAATTGACTGAATGGCATCTGTTATTTCCTTATCTGTAATATCCCTTGTCAATGTGGCATTCATCTCATCTGTGACTTTCTTTTGAAATCCATTGAAGATATCTTTCTGGCAAGTGTTATGTGTGCTCTTATAAATCTTGGAGAAGAAATCTTTTGCATGTTTACCAACTTCTTTATCACCTCTGTAAACGTTCCCTGCATCATCTTGTATTGATAAGATTTTGTTCTTTGTAAAACGTGCTCTGGTACAAGCTTGAAAGAATTTGGTGTTACGATCCCCTTGAGCAAGCCATGTATTTCTACTTTTTATTTTCCAGTATGTCTTCTCATCATGGTACGCTTGGGCCAACTCATGTTGTATTTGGATAATATCTTCATAAGAAATGTTTGAGGTTGATAAAGCCAACTCCAGTTCAGTTTCAAGTGCTTCAATGCGTTTAGCCGAGTTTAGCTTTGAATTCCTCCGACAATAGGCCATTGATTGCCTACATTCTCTGATACGATCAGAGATCTTTGGATTGTAAATCCTATTACGACAGTTCCATACTTTTTTCACGTATGTTTTGAAATCATGAAAATCCAGGAGTCGTTTATCAAATCTGAACATTCTTTTCCCCAAGTTTTCAGAATAGGCAATGGTTGTGCAAATTGGTCGGTGATCAGACCCGTAAAGACCCAAGAAGTGTGCTTCAGAAGCCGGGAATTCAGCTATCATTTCTGTGTTAACTAAAACTCTGTCGAGGCAACACTTTACTGTATGGTTGTATCTTTTTCCAATCCAAGAAAACCTATTACCCTTGGTTCGAAGATCAGTTAAATCACAACTGCTGTATAGTTCTCTAAAGTCTTGAAAGCTTCTCTCATCTCTTTTTGGTCCACCATCTTTTTCATCATTTGATAAATTTCATTAAAGTCTCCTAACAAAATCCATGGACCAGAACGTGAATCATTAATGACTTGAAGCTTCTTCCACAACTCATGTCTATGTTTTTGTTGGGGATGACCATAGACACAAGACATGTAAAATGAAACACCATTTACATTAACACCAACATCAATCAACCGTATATCAGCTACATACTTAACTATATATACATCTTTTTTCCAAAGCAAAGCCAAACCTCCACTCCTCCCTAATGGAGGGATGGTAATTAAGTTATCAAATCCTAGATACACACACATATCTCTTAATATATCACACTTATTTAAGGTTTCAGCTAGAAACATGACATCAGGCTTATGAGTTTTGCAGATATCCTTCAGCCTTTTCTCAGTCGGCGATCCCACAGGTCCAAGACCCCGACAGTCCAGGAAACGACTCTCATGAGGGAAACAGTGAGGGTACCGGGCCTCCCGCGCCTCTGTCTATTGGAGAGGTGGCTGAACATGACCTTTCTGATTCACCGTATGTCAGTCTGTTCGCCGCAGGACACAGGACCGTCCTGATAAGACTTGGCTGGTATGGATCACAATACATATCACCATCTTCAATGCTTCTGCGTTTTTTAAAACCCTCCCACAGTTTCCTCCGCTCTAGTGTAAGCCGCAAACACTTCCATGAAGTCATCTTCTTTGAACTTTCCTTTAGCCATCTTAGCTTGCAAATACCACACCGTTTCTACAGCAAGATCGTTATGAGGCATGACATTCTGTGGCACATATTCAGCATCACTGTTGAAACCCGCAGACATTGGCTCTAGAGGCAAATCACCAACAGCATCATTTCCTTCCATATAGGGATGAGCATTCCTTTCTTCTTCATTGTGGGCTTCATAGCCCTCCATTTCTCCGAGACCATCCGCATTCCCATCAAAGTTGTCGTCCAGATTATTGTCATCATTTTCATTATCATCAAAAGCATTCAAAGGACACTCCTTAGCATCATGTGTGAGGAGACCGTATTTGTTGCAAAAGTTCCGAAGACGCTCAAACCAGAATTTCAACAAAGTATTTTGATCTACACCAAATTGGAAATTCCTTTGAAAGCGAAGGGGTTTGTCTAAATTCCAATTTACCTTAACACGGACGAAGTCAACCCTCGTGGAATTTGCATCAAAATCCACCGCCACCACATCGCCAAGGTGTCTAGCAACAAATCGGATCATTTGCTCCATGAGGAACTGGAGTGGGATACCCCTGATTTGAATCCAGAATGGAATGATGTTCAAGTCTTCCTCTGGTAATTTCGGTGACCATTGACGAAGCACCAACATCCACTCATTGAAGGACCATGGGCCCCGAGTTAATATAAGATTCATCGCTTCCTCTGACTGAAAAATGAATTGAAATCGATTTGGTCCGATGATTCTGCCAATAACCGCATTTCCAAGTCCCCACAATCATGGCATATGATTTAGCATCAGACGAATTGGTTGCTTCTTAGGGTAGACAGTTGTGCCTACAATCGTGAAACGATTGGCACTCGCCGCTTGAACACAGAGTTCCGCTGGAAGGGAAATTGCGGCATCATCGGCTCCAAGGTTAAGATTTTGAAGATTTCGGCGTATGTAGTCACTCATTTTGGAGGGAATTTGGGTGAAAGAGAAAAGAGTTTTGCAGGGAGAGTTTATATAGGAAAAGGGCCATGGCGGTTTTGGACAAAAATTCACTCCCGCGAAAGGAGACAAGGAAACCGTTAGAGATTACTCTTAACGGACATAAACCGACAACTTAGATCCGTAGAGATCGGAAGAAAACTGTCGAAAAATCACTCTCTCAGTGAAAAAGATGGCGGTTTCTGAAATCGCCCAAAAAATCGCCCAAAAAATCACCTAGAGAGAGATATTTTTTTTTATATAATTGAAAATAATTATGTAAACTACGATATGAAAAGATGTTTTTAATTAAAAGAACCAAAAGTACTAAAATTTTATAATTTCTTAAATATCATTTGTAGATGAAAAATATTATACTTTTTTCTTGTCGTCAGTTGAAAAATCTTATACAAATGGGGGCATATAACAACTCTTGATTAAAATTATGAAAGAAAAGGACATAATAATAATACAAGACAAAATAGATGACTATATAACACGTACAAACATAACAAAATTACAAATTTATCCATGGCTTCTAAAAGCTAGCCTTCCTTAACGACGTGAATTTAACGGAGCTTCCCAAGGGCGACGAACCAACGTCAATGTCAAACGAATCATATCGCCGGAAAATCTCAATCAAAAACAACCTCGCCACCAAAACAACAAAATCCTTCCCGGCGCATTGTTTATTCCCCACCGTCGGATTCTCCGTCTCCGGCCCATTCGACCACACCACGTGCCGCAACAGCCTCTCTCCTTCCTCCCCGACGAATCTCTCCGGCACAAACTCCTCCGCTCGATCGAATATCTTCGGATCCTTCGTCGCAAACGGTTGATATCCGTAAAGCATTTCTCCTGCCTTCACTTTAAACGCCGCGTCGTGGCTCTCAATCACAAAATCTTTCTTTGCACGAGCGTATTGCGCCGGAACCGGCGGTTCGAACCGGAGACACTCAAAAACGACGGATTTCGTTAGCTCCATTTTCTCAATACCTCCCATCGTGAGCTCTCCGTCGTTTGATTTAATCGTTGATCTAATCTCCTCCGCTAATCGAATCTGGAGTTTAGTACCCGCCCGCCCGACTCGTTTAACCAGATTAGAGAATAAGATTTTCATCCCACCCCACGTGTTAAAACACGTGGCGAAAAGTAGATTGTGAGCAGCTTCTTCTCGCGAGATACCCAATTTCTCGGCCTCGACGAGAATCTCACCTGAAGATTCGAGGAAAAACTCATAGAGTCTCCGGTAATCAGATTTGACTAGCGACGAAGGTAATCGGAAAGTATGGAGAAGAGGATCTTCAACAAGCTTTGGTAAACCGAGTGTTAACAAAGGATGTAGATTGAAGAAGACCCATTTCGTGATCAACTTCGGTGCATCGGATCCAAGTTTGGTATCAGCTGGAGTCTTCCCGTACATAGCTCGAGCCAAGAAATCGAACGCTGCTGCATCTCCAGGACCACCGAAATCTGCTTTTCCATTAGCGGCGAGTTCTTTCTCAATCGAATCGAAAAGCTCCGAGTAAGTAGCTCGAAACTCTGGGAAGATTCGGTTTCGAGAGGATTTGAGTAGATGGAAAAGTAATGATTTGAGCTTGGAGTGATTCGGCTCCGATGGATCGAGGTAGGAGAGGATTCGATAGCCTCCGGTGAGCTCCGTTGAAGGCATGTAAGTTCCCGTGAAGAGATCTTTCTTTTCGACTTTATCAACATCGAATAGAATCGGAAAGCTTTTTCCGTCGAGTAAAGCAACGACTTGTGGGTTCTCAGCTATGAAACCTCCGGGAGGCATATTGACACGAAATACGGTGGAGTTGTATTTACGGATTCGGGATTTGAAGAACTCTTCTGGTTTTTGGTTGTAGAAGTAATCATGACGGTCTTTGATGGGTCCTATAATTGGTAAACCGTAGCTTCCGGGGATGTTTCGGATCGGGAGATCTTTGGATCCGGATCCGGGTTGGGTCGCGACGGCTAGATCAGGAGGAGTTTCTGATGTTGAGGCTTTGATCAGGCGGGTTAAAAATCGAGTCGAGGTGAATTTTAACGGCGTTGATCGCACGGTGGTGGATTGGTTTATCCGAGGGTGAAGAGAATTCGGCAAAGGAGCTGAAACAGATGCCATTTTTTTAATACTGAGTTGGGTGGATTGTTGTGTAGAAACAAAGACGACTAGAATTTGTATTTATAAAGAAAGGAAATAAATGTGAATGAAAACTAGTTTGATCAAAAAGATAAAATTGTTGATGAAAACTGAAGAAGAAATAAAAGAAGAAAAGTACTACTAAATGTCCATCTAAATGACAATGTTTTTTTTATTTCATATATTTGTAAAAGAGTGATAGCCATTTTCCGTAATCATGGTGATTCGCATGTGATTCTTCAAAACTACCCTCCCATAAAATATTACCACTTGTATTTACAAAATATAGTAGAAACTTTATAAATTAATATTCGATAAATTAATAAATACTATAAATTAATAAATTTTTCCGGTCCCAAGTTAGGTTAGTTTAAAATTTAATACAAATCGATAAGATAATAAGATAATAATTCTAAGAAAACTCCTATGTAAATATATAGTCCCTTTAAAGTCATAAATTAATAACTATAGATAAAAACTTATTTAAATATGTATATAACTAAGATAATCTACTAAAATATGAATCTAGTGTTGCTTGTTTTTTATTTAAATAAAATCTTTTTGGACTTCATCTCTAATTTTTCTCATTGCTTCAAAAACTTCTGGTGTTGTCTTCTTAAATTGCACCAAAAAATTGTGAAGAGTCCTAGACGCGATAATTGCTTCTTTAAGCGTAACTACTTCCAGAGGTATCATATCATCTTCAACTTCATCATCAGCATTGAGAATAGTGGCCACAATTTCTTCTAAACTATGAACTTCTGAGCATGTATCATTCTCACCAGGATAATCAAGTAGACTATTGACATCCATTCTATTATGATAGCTGAGATTATTAATCACAGCATCAAGTTCATGCACGTCTAATTCACAAGTGGAGCCATCTTCTAAAGTATCTGATGTGGCATCTGATGAACAAATTTTGCAGTGTTTAAAGCAATTTTCTATTATCCTTTGCTTAACATCAACATTCCAAACCGCTACTGCAAAATTGATAGCATCCAAAACATTAATTTTACCTGGATCAGATTGTCCCAACTCATAGCCTTCTAAAATATGTCGGTAAAGTCTTCTACGATAATGCATCTTAAAAGCTCTTATTATTCTAGCATTACAAGGTTGAATTTTTGATGTCATGTTGGGTGGCAAGAAGAACAACTCAATATTTTGTAGTGCTTCAATATTTTTTGGATGTGCTGGACAATTATCTATCACAAACAAAACTTTTCTACCATGCATCTTCTTATCAAACCAGCAGATATACTCTTCACAAATCACATTAGTCATCCAAGCTCTTTTGTTAGAACGGTAGTGAAAATCCAAACCAGTCATGTTTATATTCTTGAAACAGCGTGGCTTTGCATATTTTCCAATAATCCATAAGGGAATTTTTTCAGAGCCATCTTCAGCAAATAACAATTGTTAGCCTTTCTTTGTCTTGCTTTTTTCCTTCAAGCTGTTTTGTAGCGAGAGAATGATCAGCTTGTAACCTATAAAACAAACCAGTTTCATCCATATTAAAAAAATCTTTCTTGGGGAAGCTATCTATTTTTTCCCTTATAGCCTCCAATTTCTTCACCATGTCTTGTATGTCAACTGAACCACTTTCTCCAAAACGACGAAAGGATTTGATACCATATCGTAACTTAAACTTTCCAAGCCAACCTGGAGAAAGTTGGTGAGCTTCTTCTTGAGGGTATACAAGTTTCATTGTTTCTCTTGCCTTCTCCAAAATTAACTCGCCAGTCCTATTCACTCGCTTTTGATATTGGAGAAACCACTCAAAAGCTACTTTCTCCATGTCTGGAAATTTTGCTGGTTTGTGTCGTTTGATATCTCTTCCTCCTTCTAGGTCGACTGAAAGATAATCCGCTGATCGTTTGAGTGTGTTTGAGATTGTACCTTAACTAATTTTTAAATTAAACTTTTCCTCAAGCCACGACTGCAAATCCTTTTGAGTGCATGCATGATGATTTCTCTTGTATTCACATAATTCTTTGCGAATTTTATCCGTCATAGTTGATTTTGGAACATTTTTTAGATGAGGAGGCATTGTAAACGCAAAGAAGAAGAGCAAAACGTATTTTTTAATAATGCATATCAATGAACGTGAAAATAAAAGTAGTGGGTCTCTTAGCTATGCACAAAATACAGTAATATGGAAATATAAAGAAAAAAGAAATGTAAAACAATATGGAAAATATGAAAATATGTAAACTATAAAAAAAATCAAGAAAATATACAATAAAAGAAAAAGTTCTTTTACAAATAAATGGAAATTTTTAAAGACTATGAATTTAAAAAACAAGTAAATAATTTTTATAATTTTTAGTTAAAATCTATAAATTAATAACTCTGTAATTAATAAAATATCAAAGTCCCAACATTATTAATTTATAGAGTTTTTACTGTACAATTGTAAATTGAACAGTTTCCTTTTTAAATGCTCTTTTATTTTATCTGTTTTTTTCCCTTATATTTTTCCAAAAATATCCTTACTAAACAAATAAAAAACTTAAAATTAGAAATTAGAAATTGAGAGGGAAATTGGATAATTTAAAATAATGGAGACAAATTGCTAGATCCAACCCAATTTTACCGAATTTTGATTTTATCGGATCTAAATCGTGGATGGATCTGTAATAATAGATAGTTTGATTGTTTTTTTTTATGTTTTACCACTTTTTCAAATTAAAAAAAAAAATTAAAAAAAGTAACTATTAGAAGTGGAGTATTGTAGAATAACTTTGAAAAGAAGAAAATATCTTAACTAATTGTCCTTGTAAATTTTGGATAAATAAACTCTTTCGGTATAGTTATATAGCAAAGTTATCCAAAAAACTATTTACAGCCCATAACAAAACCAAATGGAATATATCTTTTAAAAAAGATTGCAAATGGTTTTTTATCCCATATGGACAAAATTTGGTTTTAGTTAAATTAGACGATTTTATCTTTATAATATACTAGATAAATACCTACACATATGCAGATTTATAATTTACTATTTTATAGCTCGTTAAAAAAAATAATGAAATAAAATCATCCATAAAAATATATAATACATAAAGTTAAAAATAAAATTATCAATAATCATAATATTATTTAAACACAAAAATAATTGGATTACAATAATTAAAAAAAAAAATTTTACATGACTATACTAATATAACAATAACTATTTAATGGAGTAACATAACATGAGAAACAGACAAAACAAATTACATGTAGTTAATGAACTAAAAACATTAACAAAAGTTTATTGGTTGTGAATTTCTAATGTATTGTTTAACTTCTCTTATGTTAACTGGAATATAATTTTTTTCTTTTGTTCTTATAAACATTGGTTTTTATCCTTTTCTTTTATTTATTATTTTTTAATCTAAAAATAACTTTTTCCCTTATTTTTTAAGATTAAAAACAATTATAAAAATTCTTTTTTTTTATAAAAGATTTGTTAAACATATAATTAAAAATTAATTCAATATGTATCAAAATCTGATCATTTCACTTGACACATATCACAATCATGCAAGTTACTGTTTTTGAATTATTATTTTTATATAATAAAATAATTTTTACAAATAATAAACTGTAATAATGAAATGGTGTTTTTTTAATGAATAATTTGTTGGCTATATAGAAAAATTGATACAGATTTTTATGCGATCTAAATAGTGTAAACGAGATTTTTTACGGTATAATGTTATTTTCTATTTAAAAATATATATGGAACATATTAATATATATTAGCAATATATATATATATGTGATATATTATTTTAAATTTTAATATATAATTTATTATCTGATCTGGATCCAACTTTCTTTGCATACCTGGATTTTTGGAACGGATCGGAACGGATTCTAGATCCGATCTTGGATACTAAATAAGATTTTTACCCCTAATATATATACACTAAATTTAGAGGTTGGGTTAAAAAGGTATATTGCTTTATATAATTTTTCGTCCAAATGGCAACCTCTAATATTTGCTATTTTTAGATAAAATTATTTTTTGCCCCATATCAAATCTACTCTAATAAAAGTAGAAGTTTGAGGCTACTCAGAGTGTCCACCTCAGGTTTTTAATTTGCACGATGCCATATCAGCTAATCTCAACTTTTCAAACATTGTTAAATCAAAGCCGAAACAAATAATTGTAAAACTATTTTTCGTATCCCTCAAACAAAGCCTTCTTCAATACTATTAATTACAAACTCATTTGCCTTTTTCTCTTCCCCACAATTATAACTTATAACTTAGAAATGAGATAAATACAACCATATCAATATTCTTACAGCCATATCAATCGACAATATAATTTGAGGAGGTATTGGTGATTAGGAAAACTGGATCTGAAGGTGATAGATGATACCATGGTTTTGGATCTGGGTGTGGCGGGCAATGAAGAAGCAGCCATAACAGAGGATTTGGACGCTCCATAAGGGTTTCTATGCATCCAAAGGAACAATTACAGGAAGCTGGGAATATGGAGTAAGAGACCGTCATTTTAAGCACCTCCACTTTCAAATTTCCTAAGGATTGAAATCCTTGTGGAGATTCAAGAGTTCTAAATAAGCAAAATATATAACGATAATGGATGAATTCACATTCAACCCTTTCAATGCTTCAAATAGCAGAAATTATGTACATCAGTACATGTCAGCGGAGGATCTCACCTTACGTCCGTCATGACTAAAAGGTTTATTCTTTTCATTATTCTTTGTCGATTCTTCTCTCCTAAACTGATAGTTTGTTGATTCTCTTGTGGTTAGTGTCCCCTCGGATGATCTTTTTCTTACTCACTCCGCGTTAAACAAGGTTATGGGTTCTGCAGGTATGAATAATTATGTATTTGTGCTCTGATTATTTGTTCTTCTGCTACGGTTGACTACAATTGAGTGCATAAATAATAAGATTTGGTTTTCCATTTTGTTTGAACGAATAGCTTTATTGGCAGTCTAATTTA